ATTGTAAGATATAAGTAATCCCCATTATCTTGTAAACACCTATTTACATACAAATAAATAGTTAGAATGTCTATTCTGGATATTTCACAACGAAACTAAGAATGGGTTTAAAAATAAAAGACCGCGTACCCAGAATCACTTTTCGAAACTAATGCTTATATTGTTCAGTTTTGCTAAGGAAGGATGGGATAGTTTAACTGACCCTCTATCATATATCACTGTACCAATTCACTCCTTCCTCAAAGCGACGCCCCCAAAGTGTGACTATTACAACTCTGATTTTGCCAATTCCGGTTTTTTATCTGGGTATGGCGTCCTCTTAAGAAGCTTTGTGGTTCTTGACTGCTCCGAGGATCAACATGAAAATATGTACTTAGTAAATGATCCCTCAAGTTAATTCAAAGATCATGATACTAATCTATAAATAGAAGAGATAGAGCAAGAAGGCCACTAGCTTGCCATTGACGAAGACGATAGCACTTCAATAACGATGAAATTAACAAGAGAAATAATATTTTTTTTTTTGCGATTAAAATTTGGCAATGTTTAGTTGGTCCCCGAAGATTCAAGAGAAGTTTCGGTTCCATTTCAGAGTGGAAAATGAAGCCCTGAAATTGAGAATATCTTGCAAAATGAAGTAGAGTTGCACACGAGAGTGCAAGAATCCTTCCCACTGAATCCAGAGCAACCCTCCACATGGCAATAGCTTGGTTGCCGCAAAATTGAGACTTGGCGATACCCTGGGGAAAATATCCTTTTTGGCGCAATTTAAGTCAGCTACTTCAATTTGGAGCATCTAGGCGCAGTTTCCACAATTGGCGCAGCACTTGCACCACTGATATTTGCACGTCAAGCTTTATTTTTAGACTTGTCAATGTCATTTGTGATCATAACAATGATAATTATTATGCGTACGTATTTTTATGAAACAATCTGCTGTGGGATGTTATACTTTTGGTTATCTCTTTCTTTCCCTTGTCACCCCACAGCCACTCCATTCTTCTTTTCATATTGGAGATCTTTTATCTTACCCGACCAGACTTTTTAAATTATTCACATGCAAATTCATTTAAATTTTACGTCGGTTCAGGTTAAGAAGCTAAAATAATTAAAATGAAAAATATTAGTTTACTTTTTTTACTATAACATATTTTTTTCCCAGTCAATAAATTTCAAGTTATTTTGTTTTTAATAAGTTGTACAGGCTTTATACCTTAATTTTCTTGAAGATTTATTATTTTTTTTTCATGTTGTAGGTTAGGGAGCATCAAATGTCCCAGGTTTTTCAAAATTTGTTAAAAGTTGTTAGTCTTTGGTTATTTTTATGCAAAATGCTAAAAAAATATTGTACACCAAGTTTAATAAAATTAAAATGACAATCATGTGGTTCACTAGATATGCCATTTTGTAACGAAAATGGAAATTTTGAGGGGAAAAAAATAACAACGTGTGAACTAAATAAAAATATTTTCTGATTAAATTTAGAAACATTTGTGTGACATAATAAAATGATATAGAGTTAGTTTCAATCTTGCTCGACAATCTGTATATTTTGAAAATGAATTCTAGATTTTGCCGATTCTATGTAATCGGTGCTTGACTTCTTGCAACTTTACTAGTCGTTATGTAAGATTAGGAATTTATAAATTCTGAAACATTTGCTGCAAATTGAGTCAAGTTCTAGTATATAAAATAAAAACCAAGAATCTGCTCTAGATAAATCAGAAAAAAGCATACTTGTTGTGAAATTTTTCTCTCTCCTTTTTTCATTTAAATTCTGGTTTTCCAAAATCAATTCCGAATCTACCTCGCAATTCAGAGTGATAACACCAAACATATCATAACCGGTCAAATGACCGTTTAAGAAATTTTGCATCGAAAATGCACATAAGTAACGCGTAGATCGTTCCATCAAAGTAGTGCGAAACAGCACTAAACGAGGCTATCTTAACATGTAAATAATGGGGTTAGGGGAAGATGAATAGAAAATTGGTTAGGTATTAAATTTAATAATTATGTTTTTTTTTAATAAAAATAAAACCAAACATTTATTTCTTACTAAAATATAAACGAATATACGTAGGTATAAAAACAAATAAAATTCTAAGTCAGTCAGATCATTTAGTCTATTTTGTGCTTTCAATATTCTGCCTTTTTGTCAAGAGGGCATCTAATGTAGTTTGTGTTTTCTTCTTGCGATCTGTTAGAAGTTGTTGATAAGTGGATAAAGCATCTATAACACTCCGTCTTGCTTTTGAACTCCTGTCCAAATTTGGATAATTTTCAACAAATTGGTCCATAATTTCAGTTATAATGGTCAAACTCCTTTTTACAAACGCCATCGAAAGTTCTTTTTGCTCNTTTCTATATATTGAATTATTTTTTATCTCTCACAGGACCTTCTATGGGCCGAAACGAATGTTGCCCCCGAAAATTATTCCTCATAAGGCATACATCCCACTAGCTTATTTCAAAATTGGCGAGTCACACTTCCCTAGTTTCCCTTGTCAGTCTATTTTGTCAAACATCTGCTTTAATGTTCGCCGCAAGTAATAAGCCTTAAAACTGGATATAATGCCTTGGTCCATTTGTTGGATTAGGGAGTTGTGCTAGGCGAAACCACTTCGACTTCAATGCATGTTGTTAAGTCTGATAAATTTGTTGGGTGGCTTGGAGCATTATCAATTAATAGTAGTGTTCTTTGTTCAAGTTTTTTAATTTCGCAATAACGTTTAACAGACGGTCAGAAATGTTCAGTGAACCAATCCTGGAAAATTTTCATAGTTATCCATGATTTTTTATTAGACTCCCAAATTACAGGTAGAGTTGATTTAGATACGCCTTTCATCGCTCTTGGGGTTTTGGAGTGGTAAACTAGTAGTGGTTTTAATTTGATATCTCCGCTTGCATTGCCACCCAGTAGAAGTGTTAAGCGATCTTTTGCGGCTTTAAATCCTGGTGCTCGTTTCTCTTCACGGGATAGAAATGTTCGTTTTTACATTCTTTACCAAAACAGGCCTGTTTAATTAACATTAAAAACCAATTCTGGAGGATAGTTTCCTTGTTCAATTATTGTTTTTAATGTCGCTGGGAATTCAGCCGTCACTTTCGTATCACCACTTGCTGCTTTTCCTGTAATCTTTATGTTGTGAAGATTATTTCGATGTTTAAATCTATTAAACCATCATCGACTAGCAAGCAAAAGTTTCACTTATGTCACTTGTCTCAACCTGAATGTAAGAATGTAATTAAAAATTCTTCTAGCTTTTTCCATTATGATAGATTGGCTTAATGGCATATTGCGTTCAATTTCGTGGTCAATCCATATAGACAGTCGTTTTTGCATTTCCTCTATAATGTTACTTCTAGAATGGGTAATTCTAGTTGCAGAGCTCGACGTAGTTGCCGATGACAGTATTTTTTCTTCATTCTTAAGAATTGTCCTCATTGTTGAAGTTGCCAAATTCAATGCAGCACTAATTTGAGATTGACGTTCACCAGAATCTAATCTTCTAATCCCTTGCATTTTAGTTTCCAGTGAAATGCTTTTTATGGTTGCTTTCTTTTCTTGTTTTTCATTATCACCCGTGATAAAAACTAAAGATTATAATGTTTGTCACTGCATTAATCGTCATAGTATTATTTAAATTTATATGTACTTACAATAATGTCAACAAATGTTTCAAATGATAAAAATGCCCCCGCACAGCACCGCACCAAACAAGAAACACAACTACACTGTTTCGAATATGTTATATACATATTTGGGGAGTCCCCGCTCACAATTTCGGGGAATCCCCGGGTTGAAATAAAAGAGCGCTAAACCGAAACAGCGCTAAACGAAACAGCATTAAGCGGGGTCTTACTGTATCATATTGCTTGTGCACTTGCCAGTGGTAATAGTGTCTCAAACAAGATATGCCACCATAATCTTCCGTCATGGGGAGAAATAAAACATTACTTGAATAATGAACTGTTGTAAGCAATGCAAAAAAGTAGGATGCAAAAAAGTTTTCATTATTCATTTTTTGTAACTTAAACATTTAGAATATATATATCTAGGCAGGTAGGTATTTTATNCACAGCACCGCACCAAACAAGAAACACAACTACACTGTTTCGGATATGTTATGTACATATTTGGGGAGTCCCGGCTCACAATTTCGGGGAATCCCCAGGTTGAAATAAAAGAGCGCTAAACCGAAACAGCGCTAAACGAAACAGAATTAAGCGGGGTCTTACTGTATCTTATTGCTTGTGCACTTGCCAGTGGTAATAGTGTCTCAAACAAGATATGCCATCATTATCTTCCGTCATGGGGAGAAATAAAACATTACTTGAATAATGAACTGTTGTAAGCAATGCAAAAAAGTAGGATGCATTTTTTGTAACTTAAACATTTAGAATATATATATCTAGGCAGGTAGGTATTTTATTTACGGCATACTAGAGCTGAACAATGGGCTATTGGAGACTGTCTGGAAAACATCCCCGAGGATGATATACGAAGACATGCCATCGCAATTTCGATCCTCTGCAGAGGGGATGGCTCCCCTGCTTCGGCAACCCGACGACCTGCATGCGAAGGCAATCACTTTACGGTAGAACAGCTTAACGAGGACCAATACCGCGCAGCATCGGTCCCTACGCAGGCTGATTAAAGTGGTTACCCACCCGCTTACTGACTGCAGTTAGTGATGCTTGACTTCGGCGTTATACTGGGAACCGTGTGATTACGATCCGTCCACTACGGGACAGAATATATATATTAGAAGAAGATGACCGATAACCCCCTTGAACATATATTAAAACTACGCCACTGTATTGCCCTAATAAGTTTAGAGGATAAAACATTATCCAGCAAGTGTTTATCAATCAGATTTCTATCAAGACAAATGTAAGCTCTAAGCAGTGGTTGCTTTTTCCCTTCTTTCTTTTTTGCAATTAAATAAATACAGGCAACCGTTTCATTTTGAATTTTTAACAATTGGAAAAGAAAGTTTCTTAAAAGATTGTTTTTAATTGATTCAATATGTACAACACACATGAGTATCACTGTGTCTCGACATCATTGTATTTACAGAAGAGAAATTTCTTGGCTACACCTATTTTTTAGATTTGTTGGCAGCAGCTTTTTTAGCTTTTACCATTTCCACCAGTTCCTGAAAAAGAAATATTTGTGTTTAGGACATAGTTGTGATAATAACAGGAGTATATATATTGTGATATAAAACATTCTCCAAAAATATGTCATAGTTTATAACATAACTGACTTGCAAAACTAAATATATATATATTCTATTAATTTGTATAACACGTGAAGCCAAATTTAATGCAATATTATTCATATAAAAACATACGAATATTATTCATATAAAAACAAATGGTCTGCATAGCTTTATAAAATTGGGATGGATTCAAATTTGATCTTGTAATAATTTTAAACAAAAAACTATTGTTTGCGATTAAATTTCAAATAAACAATTTACATTTAAAGTTATAATAAAAAGGCAGGAGCATTATTTAATTTTCAGTCACTTTTTTTGAAGACAGTTATTTTTTATTTTAAATTTTGCGCAATTTTAGATTAGTGGTTACGAATTGGCGGCCCGCAAAGCCTTTTTTTGTGGCCCGCAGGCTAAAATAAAGTAGTTGTCATTTTTTTGCGGAAAATTTTCGTAAAAAAAGCTATATGGGTTTTAAATACTTTTAAGTTTTATATCTTAACGATTTGATATCTGTTGCACATTAATTGTTTAATACATAGATGCACAATTAAAGTTATTGTAGACAGAATTTTTTAATATGCAATTAAATATTTTTAAAAATCTACTTCTTATTTTAATTTGTAATTCAATACTTTTGTTTTGAACAACTTGATAAAAATCTGACAGTAATATTTCCTTCAAACATAAAAGAGTCCTAAATAAAATTTTGATAAAGTTGTAGCCCGCCATTTGACTGGTGTTTTTAATTGCAGCCCCCGGCCTCATGTAAGTTGGAAACCTCTGTTTTAGATAATGTGTTTAAAATAAGTAGTTCTCCCTCAAAATCAATAAACTCACATTTTTACATATAATTCAGATAGATTTTTATGAATAGTAACAAAAAATTTATTGCTTTAGCTTATTCTTAACACTGTCAATGTAATTATTTGGAAAATTTATAGAATAAGCAATTCTAGTGATTGCATTCACACTTTTTGAACTATCATTTTTCTTCTTTTCCCTAAGCTGTGTCCATGAAAAAATAGTCAGAAAAAAGCAAATTAAATTTTAAATTCAGAGTTTTAAATGGTACTGATTAAACACTCATAAAAAAATATTTTTGTTGGTGTTTTGCATTAATTTAACTCAACCTTAGGCTGACACATCAATTTCAAAGAAATATACTTTTTCCAATTGTTAACCATCGTCAACTTCAGTATTCCTTGGCTGCAGCAAAATACTCTTGCATAAACTGCACCATTTTATTTATTTTACTGAACGGCAGGTGTATAAGCAATGATAGATTATGAAGAACAATGATGATGGCTCTTATCAAAAGTACATTTATATCACTGCGTTTGAACTCGTGTAGACAGAACTAAGATATTTATTCAACTTATCAGTTTGCGATTAGTTGAATAAAAGTTATGTAAAAAAACTAATTATATATTAAGAAAAGATATGTAATATTAAAATTATGTAAAAAAACTAACTATATATTAAGATATATAAATAAATTATATATTAAGAAAAGATATGTAATATTAAAATGATATAAGATATTATTTAAAAACAGTGACTCATCCTCCTCTATAAGTTGACCATGTTGCACCAATGCACAACTTAACATTTCACTTAGTTCATAGTACAATTAAAAACCTCCATAAGTGTTTTTTACTCATTATTTAAAAAAAAAATTATTGAACTCACTCAGCATTGCCACTCAAATCTGGAAAAAAAATTCCCTGAGTTTTCCATGTATATATTATACACAATATATTAAGAGGAAACACAACAATTAGTGTGCTCTTGTGTGAGCTATATAGGGCTAACTATTTTTATTAGTTTTAATTGCTGGAAAAACAGCTGAACATACTTAAATAATGCTATAGTAAATGGAATAGTTCAGTATAACTGAAATATCATCCTTAAATATCCACTTTGAGTGGTCGCCATTTTTTTATAAGACAAAAATAAGAAACAAAATTCCCCATATTTTCCCAGTTTGTGAAGAAAAAAATCAAAATCCCTGCATTATCCCTGTTATTTCAGGTGATTTTTAAAATTCCCTGTATTTTCCAGGTTTTCCCTGTGGTGTGGCAATCCTGTCACTAAACAACGCTAGTTATGATTACTTATTTTTAAAATCAGTAGTAATATTTAATAGGTAATGCAAGATTTTTGATAGAAACTGCAAGATAATTAAAATTCAGAATAGCCACATGAGAGAAATAATGAGTTAAAAAAAAAAAGTGTGGCTCTTAGTTTCTTTCCTTCTTTTTTGTGAGTTAAAAAGGCCTAACTTTCACCAACAGGAAAAGTACTTAATATTGCTGAGTTTAAAACAAGAATGTAAAGTAAAGAAAATTACCATATTAACTCTAAGTTGCTTTTTAATGGCATGGATGCCCAAACAAAAACATTGTATTAGAAAGAGGGGCGGATTTTCTTTTTTTTTAAAAAAAAAGAAGAAAAAAAAGCATAATTTATGTGATTTTTTGAATAAGATAAAATAAAACATTCAAAATAGAAATATATACACAAAGGATATTGTTTGGGTCATTACATAAAAAGAGAAAAAATTATTAAACAACAAAAATTGTTAGATTGAATCATTCAAATTCAATAATCAATGATTTATTGAAGAATAAAATAAAAAGAACCTTGTATCGTTTCATGCAATCTTTTTTGTCTCTGTGAGGTATACATGCAGCTATCTTTTCCCATCTTTCTTCTGTCGAAGCAGGGTAAGTTTTTAACGCCTGTTCCAATAGTTGCTGCTCCTCTGATGTCCAAATTCCTGCCATATCGGCTGGAGCTGGAAATATCAATTCTCTTTTAACAATAATAACAGACTACCTCATAGAAAAATGTAAAATTAATTTTTATTTATTAACATAAATTTACTTTTTTGTTTTTCACATAAAATGATTTTTTTGGTTGCATAATTGATAGCACCATAAAATTGTTTGAAGAATGACACAATAGTAATTGTTCACATTATTTTTCGGATCTAGAAGAAGCATAGCTGCCAAAATGGATAGGGAAAAATCCATTAGATTTCACTAAATAATTTAAATTTCGTGGTAATTGTTGAATAATGTACTAAATATTTTAAACATAGGTGATTTGTATAGTAATCATAACAGAAAAACTGCAATATTTTCCAGTTATCATTGGCGTCAAACATGCTTGAAATGTTATGCATTATTTTTACTCACAATTTCGAATATTATTGGCACTTAATAATTCATAAAAGATAGTTAGAAAATGTTTTTAATTAATTTAAAAAGAGAGTTTTGAACAAAAATAAATTGAACATTTTAGATCAAAAAAAGTTTTGAACTGATTTTTATAAACGAGGTTCGCTTCATTATTAGTACTTATCTAAATATTCAAGCAAGCAATCCATACAAAAATTTTATTTCAATAGGGAATTTTTTAGGAAACTTACTCAATTTTAGAAAATTTTCTAAAATGCATATCTGCCTAGTCCTTTTTTTTAAACACAGACTCCAGTAATTTACCAATATCTCCTGTTTACAAAATTTTTCTGAATTTGTTGAAAAAAAAATTAAAAATTTTTGCTGATGGCAAAATACCTCAACAGATGGTGCTATTGCCAGTACTGCAGTATGTTGAGTGTTTATAGTTTAAGTAATTTTAAAGTAATTTTGTTAAGTAACGGTTTAAAAACTCTTCTTTAGATTAAGATTTATATACATAATTGTTACTTAGGTAAATATAAGTGGTTACATTATTTTCAATTTTGAAATTCTCTTTTCGACCTACATAATTATGCATGATGAATCAAAACAATACTCATAGCCTAAAAAATTTTGCTAGTAAAATCTCCCGTTATTTAATTTCTCCAATGTTGGCAAGTATGAAAATATACAAAAACCAGGAGAATTCTAATTAAACTAGCAGAGCAGGAGAAACTGGAAAAATCCAGTAGAGTTGGCAGCCATGAAGATGTTTTTAGATAGCCTTTTCATAAAAACAAAGAAGCTGTTCTGCCATTCCATAACATGCCAGCTTCTAAAAATTGGTTATAGTTCCCTGCATCTGAGCTTAAGTTATCATTAAAATTAACATAATAAAATACAGTCAAAAATAGTGAATCTTCAAGGGACCGTAATTTCGGTTTACGATAACCAAGAGTTCACTATATCCGTACTACAAACAATTTTAAATAATTTTTCAGAACTGCCCCCTTTTATTACACATTATTTAAATAAATGACCCATAAAAAGAAATACAAAAATGATTGAAAAACAATCTGTAGTAATAAAAATGTGCTAACCTTTAGTTATTATTACTCTTTGTTTTGAGTACAAAAAATTTAGGGATGAGAAACTGAGAAGAAATGCTTACGGCTACAATCCACTCAATAGAAGGTTTTAAAAATCGGTATATGTATTTTATGTAGAAATTTCATAATTACCAAAAATTAAGGAAATAAATCACTCGAAGCCAGAAAAAAGTTCATAATATCCAATTTCCTATCTTGTTTTGGTTCACTATATCCACAAAATATATTATATGTGTATAGCAAGGCACGGAAGCGAACATTTCGTTCACTAAAAAACCATGTTATTTGTAATGGGGTTTGACTGTAATTTAAAAGAAACTTACTATCAAATCTCTCTGTTGGTGCTGACTGATCTTTCACAGCTATAGGCACTTGTTTTTGGTTTTTCTCCAGGTTTTCATAAGCACTTTTATTAACCTGCTCTCTCAAACCTCCACCTGTGAGAAAACAATGTTGAAAATTAAATACCATTTTTCTTTTAATGTAGCAAAATCTTTCGACTGAAAAGATCACCTTTTAAGTACTTTTTAAGCACTATATACATTAATAAAACGCGAAATAATTTTCAAAGACTTTCCATGATCATGATAAAATAACTAGTTTTTGACAAAGAACTCTTTTTTTTCAGTGGTGTAGTTTTGTAGAGGATTTGGAGGAGAAAACCCCCTCTGAAATTATACATTATTTGATTAATGAACTATTCGGTTCCGTAAGTAACATGTAGACATAAAATTTTTTCTTCATCGATTTTTTTTATCGTAATTTAAACATGTAGAATATATATATGCATAGCTGCAAACTTGTACAGCCGTTGCGCAAATAAACTTCTCAGTAGAAGCAACAGTATAGCAGTTTGACGAATTAAATTTTCAATTTTAAGCTTCAAAATTTTTTTTTTCAACCTATCACGAAAATCAATAATTAAAAAATATGTAAATAGCTATTTTTAGCTTACTTAGCTCTTCAATGTTCAATTAGTTTAACTAAAACTTTACATGTTCATTTACTACCATTTTGTCAAATCTTTTTCAGCCACCGTACAAGTTGGCAGGTGTGTATATACACATACGTCAGAAGGCGTAATACAATATAACTACGCCACTGTCTCTTGAACATATTGGCCATTATAAAAAGTTCAAGATATTTTTCAGTTCGATATAAGAGGGTGGAACAAGAAGCCTGAAATTGAGAATGCAGCAGAGTTGCACATGAGAGTGCAACTCAGTAAACACAGCTCAGTGGATGTACATGCGGACTTCCAAGTATCTCACCAAACTTGTAAAATGATTGGCGCTTTCATACGCTATGAACTGACGGTAAGCCAAAGTGAATTTTGAAAACATTGAATAGACAAATGTGAAAAGCACGCTTTCGTATAATAGGTGGCGAAAATCAAAATGGCAAAGAAAAAAAAACTCATTTTGGAAAAGGGAAAACTGAGCACTTTGTAGCACCCAATGAATAAAGTACCTTCAAGAGCTTTTAAATAAACGAAAATCAAAAATAAGCACCTTTAAGCACTTTTTAAAAATGCTATGCACCATATTACACCACTGCAATTATTTAAGTTTTTATCCTTTCTCACTTGAACAGTTAAAAATTAAGAAGAGGATATTTTGAACTCCTCACTCATGAATGCCACTCTTCAAAAATCACAAGACTGGACAATTTTTTATGAATTTATTTAATGTGACCATGGTAGAAACATTTATGAAAAATACTATTTATTATTTACTATATAGAATTGAGAAAAGTATGTTATGAGTTGAGGCAAAAATGAAAACATAAAGGGGGAAAAAATAAGAAAAAAGAAAAGAAAAAATGGTTCTGCACTTTGCTTCGAAATATCATTATTTCTTGAATTGTTAAATTAAGTAAATTCTTTCCAATAACCTTTCTTAAAATTGATTATTCTGTTAAAAGTTGCACTCAGAATTTAAAGTTCTTATTAATGAAATGTTTCAATACTTTTGAATGCAGATGAAAATTTAAAAATATATAGATATATATCTGCTTGATCCATCAGTTTACTAAGTTACTGAAAATTAGTACTAACCATACGTTTGTCATTGAATTATTAACTGTCATAAAATCAGAGTCAGACTAAGGCAGGGGCATACAGGTAAGTTGCCCTGGGCCCACACCTTAGAAGGGACCCCCAAATCGAACAGAAAGTTTATTTTTCGTTCCCCTCTTTAAACTTTTTTAGAAACAAAATATCCCTACAGTGTAAAATTTGTCAGTTTTATGTTGGCTTCTTCATTAATCTATCGTATGAACACAATCTACCTTTCGTAAATCCACAGATTTTTAGGGCGGAATTCAGCTAAATTTTCGAAATCAATGTGGACAAATTTGGCCATTAAAAAACCTGTATTTGTACATATCGCAAAAATATGGGTTTCTGATTGGCTTAATTGAGCCATCATAATTTAGAAAATTCAGCTGAATTCCGCTCTATTGTCAGCAAGGATATGAATATTTCTGCTAGATAGTCAATGCTATTTTTCGCTGCTACAAATTTAATAATCACAAAACTGCATTCGGCATGATGGACATAAAATTGATAGAAAATCAATAAAATGGACAGAACAATATTTTGTTTGACTATTGATTGGAGGTGGGGGNAACCACTGGAAGATGTGGGGGGGGGACTTTATAGCTCTTTTAGGTTTTAGTCAATTTTCTTGTTATCTATAATTAGATTAAAAATTTAAATACCTTCACAATGTTCGGTTCTTCATTACTGAAGCAGCCCCCAAATTTTTTTTTTTGCCCGGGCTTCAATTAGGCTACGTCGGGCCCTGCATAAAATAGTGAATATACTTTATAAAAGTATTAATCAAAAATTTTGAAATACTATCATACAGTGTAAAGTCGCGTATCCGGAATCGGTGGGACTTCCAGAAGTCCGTATAATAGATTTTTCTGTATAATTGACCCCCAAGGTAAACAAAGCTTAAAATGATCTAATAAACAATCTGAATCTAAGAAGCAAAATATAAATAAACATTATTTTTAAGGGGAATAATCAGGGATGAGAGTAGTCAAAAAGTNAACCCATTAATATATATATATATAAGCAAAAATTTGACAAAAAAGTGCAGAAGGTATTTTATTAGTGCAGAAGATATTTTAAGTTACAATATCAGACACAAACGTTATTAGAAGTTTTAAAAAAAATTCTCGAACATGCTCATCAAAAGAACACAAAGCTTAACATCGTACATTTGTGATCTTATCAAGAACATACATTAGTAAAATTATAAAGATATCTTTTTACATAAATAATATATAACACAAGAAAATATTAAGAAGCCATACAATAATTTTAGATATAATTATTCTTAGTGTTTGAAATCTACTCGACAATGATCAAGAGCTACAAAACGCTTCAAGTAGTAAATATTGATAAATGGAAATATTACTCAGCAAACTAAAATCACAGAGACTCTTACTTCGCTTTTGAAGTTCTTTAGCCTTGGCCAATACTTCTTTAGCTGTGCACTTTATTTTAGTTGTTGAATGTTGAGTCATAAAAGAAGCAATTACTTCCCATCTATAACATAGTTAAAGTATCACATTTTTAAACAATGAAAATAATTAAAAATTGATGTATAATTTTTCAAAATAAGTTGCACTCTCTAATAGGGCTGGGCAATGTCAGAATTTCGATATTGTGGTATATTGTGAGCTTCATATCACGATATTATGATATACCGCGGTAATTAAATTGTTATGTATATTATAAATGCTAAGACTATTTTGCAATTAAAAATTAATGTGTTTAAAGAGCATCATTTAAAAAAAATGGGGTACTTATCCTATATTAGCTCGCAGCATAATTATCCCATGGAATCAACTAATTATAAAGCATCATTATTTTAAAACAGAAAAATTTTATTAATGTAAACATCAATTACTAATATAAACATCAACACTTCGAAGAATATACTTCCGAATATCATTACCGCGGTATCAAAGAAATACCGGTAAATGACGGTATTACGGTATATTGCCCAGGCCTACTCTCTAATCAAATTGAAAAATTTAGTTTTTCATCTGACACAAAATAGAATTAAGTCACAGAGATGCAAACTTAGCAAACTAGCAATTAATAATCAGAAGTACAATACAGAAATATATACAGATAGTAATTACAAATATTAAATTAGAGTAATTTCAAAGTATATATACAGCTTATTTCTACATTGGTATATGACATCTAGAAAATTATGCAGGAATTTACAATGGTGACTAAAATAAAAGTGTAAATAAAAGTCTAAAGTAAAAATACTCTCTAACAAATCCAAAACTGCAAATCTACAAACACATAAACACCCAATAAGTATTTCATTATTTTCTCATCGAGTTAAAATACCCAAAATCAAATAATAAGTAAACTCAAAACAGAAAGTGAATATTGAACGCTAACACTCTGCTAAACTTTTGGAATTAGAGCAGAGCAAACTTCCACCCACATCTAGTGTGATTTCAAAATTTAGATAAAATGGGTTTAAATTGATAATGGGCCACTGGAGTCAGAAAGACTAGTTTAATACAATACACCGCAAGAAGGAAAAATATAAGTTCACATATTCTCATGTGATCATAGTTCTGAATGCCCTTCGTCTTTACCCCTCTGGCTGTTGAGTTCATTTAGAACTCTCTAAACAATTTATTTTAAGAAATTAAGACATTCATACCTACTTTAACGGTTAAGCTATTGGACAAAATTGGGACACTATTTCCCTATTTCAAAACATGGGGAAAAAAAAAACAGTTTTGCTATACAAAAGACAGCATGTTAAAATACAACTTTTTACATGTAGAGCTGTCAATTCAAAGACTGTGTGATGCACTCACCTTCGAAGAAATTCTCCTTTTATGTACAAAGAGAAAAAACATACTGAAGTAAACAATGCAAGTTTAATTTATTTACAGACAGCCATTAAGAAATGGGAGAGTAGGACATGGCGTGTGAATAATGAGGTAAGACTCTTTTTAATGATGTATTCTTAAACTAGAGACGAACTAATTCCCTCCCCCCCTGTTTAAATCTCCATGAAAAACTAAATCTGTAAACCACCTCATGATCCCTAACTACGCTTGACTTTATTTTATAACCAGCATTGACCACTTTCTTATTTTATGATTATTATTAACTTTGTAGCACATAATGAAAAAACAAACCCCAACAAGTGAACATACATGGAAATTTAAAAAAAAAGGAAAAAAAATGCCAAAATGAATATTTCATTTTATGTTTTATAACCTGCGTTGAACAGTCAACCTATTTCAGGGTTTACAAATATCAATGTTTATCTCCATAGCCTGGTAATTTTGAACACAACCCATCAAACCCTCTTAGATCAAGCAAAAGGACAAACTAGCTTTTACTCTGGTCTTTGGTTGGTGGAAAACCACAACAATTTCCCATAGTTAGCCCAACAACAAGGGGATTCGAACCCATGATCCGTCTATTATTGACAGGGAATCTGCTACAGTTTAGATTTTCAAATCTATGATTTTCCATGACTAATTTCAAGAATATTTAATGACTTAACGAAGCTACTATTTTCTCCGACAAAAACCCAACAATAAATTTAATAAAAGCATTATAATAATGTTAATTGAAATGATAAGTATAACCAAAACTGTTATACTCTGCATCATCATATTTATAGGTTTTAAATTTAAAAAACAGAGTAAAGAAAGAGTTGATGCAATAAAATAGCTGAAAAAAATACAAAAGCATAGATTATTTTTTTCTTTTTTCTGCAAAATTATATTCTAAAGATACTTTTCTTGTTCATAAGAAAGGAAAGAAATACTACTGATTTTCCTATTCTCATTTTAGAATAAATAAAAAAATTTGCAGTTGGCTGGCTTGCTTCAGCTAAAATTTCAAATTGATTAAAAAAAAAAAAATAATAACAAAAATTCTGAAATCGCATAAGCTTATAAGATAATTCTTTCTAGAAATGATGTTTTTTTCTTTCATTTTTTGAAAGATCTCCTTTCAGATATGATTCTGAAAGGAGATTTTGTTACAAATTTAGATATTTGGAACACCATGAAATTGGGAGGGTGGGGGAAATTCCATTTTTAAAATTAGATTGTTCAGTGACCTAAATCCATGGACTTTCCATGATTTAAAAATATATACAGTGAAACCTGTGTATAACGATACTGTCTATAACGATAAACCTGTCTATAGCGATATTTCCTTGAGGTCCCGGTGAAATTCCTATTCACTCAATGTATCTGTTTATAGCGATAACCACTTTTCAGTTAAACATGTCTACAACGATAATTTTTCCTCTTTTCATAGTTGATAGTTCCATTCCGATTTTTCTACCGTTGGAAAACGATTCCCCATCGAGCTTAAATGTGAGATAACAAAATGTTTTTTTTCTTCTTCCCCCATCTCCTTTGTATGTAATATTCTTTCGTTGTTTCTGAGATAAAATGCCACTTTTAGGGGAAATTAGAGCAGTAGAAATGGGTGAAGGGGTATAGTAGGAGGGAGAGAGCTTCGTCAGAAATGCTGATGAAACTTTCTAATTTTATCAGCTCATGCCAGATAAAACAATGGCATTTAAGGGAGAAAATTGTAAAGGCGGTAAAAAATCAAAACAGAGGTTAACTGTTCTACTTTGTGCAAACAGTACTGGAACCGATAAACTGAAGCCGTTCGTTATAGGCAAATACGCTAAACCTAGATGTTTTAAGAATGTGAAAAGTTTACCAGTTGACTACAAGGCAAACAAAAGAGCCTGGATGACAGAAGAAATATTTAACAACTGGCTGCTTGATGTGGATAAGGAGATGAAAAGAAAGAAGAAAAAAATAGCTCTCTTAGTTGACAACTGCACTCCTCACAACAATCCTCCAAGTTTGAAAAATATAAAATTGTTTTATTTTCCCCCAAATTGCACGTCGATTCTACAGCCATTAGATTTGGGAATAATAAAATGTTTCAAAGGATACTATCGAAAAAGATTAGTTCAGAACGTTGTTTATAATCTGGATAATAAACTCCCAAATCCTTATGCAGTTGATGTAAAAAATGCATGTGATTGGATTTCCGGAGGGTGGAATTCATTGACACAATCCACCATCCAAAATTGTTGGAAGAAAGCTTCTTTCTTTGAGGATAAAAGCAACGGAAACGCAGAAACTGAGCTTACTGAAATCACTGATGAAGAAGAAAAATGTGTGGCAGGCTTAAATTCGATTGTCAGTGATTTCCAAAGATCATCTAATACATCATTTCTATTTAACGCAGATGAATTTTTAAATTTAGATAATGATGTGTTGGTTTTCAGTGGTGCAAGTGATGAAGAGATTTTAGCAGAAGTTATCCCGGGTGATCAAAGTGATGAGGAAGAAGCAGCTGACTGTTCTCAAAACAGGACTCAAATTTCACCCGAGAATGCCATATTGCTAATTAACACTTTGCAAGATTTTGTTGCAACATTACCAAATGTAACTGATGTTCATTTGAATTCATTAGATGGACTGAAATCTATGTGCATGGAAATGGCAATTGCTTCCAAAAATAAGCAAACAAAACTAACCGATTATTTTTCTAAATAATTTCTGTTTTGATTCATAAAATTGTAAGTAAATTTTTCTTGTGTGCTGTTTCATAATTCTAAGTAAAATTTTCATTTGGAGCCTATAAAAGAAGTTTAATTTATCATTAGTTTTAAACGTATACTTTTAAATTTCAAACCTGTCTATAACGATAACCTACCTATAACAATATTTTATTTAGGTCCCTACAGTATCGTTATAGACAGGTCTTACTGTATATATATTTTTAAATCGTGGAAAGTCGCAGCAAGGTGCTTCTAACACATGATTAGCCAATTATTGAGGATATATTACGTCAGCATTGAGGTCGAGACTAGTGGGGGCTTAGAATTTGTATCTAAGGTCATTACTGAAATTTAAACCTGGATAGCCACATTAGGAGGCAAATGACATTACATTTAATTGAGAGATTGCTAATATTGAAGATCAGCTTACCTGTTGTTTGTCCCAGCAGGAAAAAGATTAACACCTTTCACTAAAAGCTGAAGATCTGCAGGTGACCATGGCTTTTGGTTGCCTTTCTCCTCATTATTCGCACAAGACCTTTGAGAAGAGGCCAACAGCTGCTCTTTCTCCTCTTCCAACTGCTTGTTTAAAGATTGAACCTGAAACATACGCTTAGTTTAAACTCTAAAACATAGTTTTTATATTTGTGCCAGTTTTTAAGCTGGTAGATTAAACGGGACATATCTTTAAGTAAAGTAAAATTGTTTGAAAACTGTCACGACAGAACAAAATTATCATTTCAGAAATTTTTCTTCTTTTTTCTTTTCTTTCTTTTCTACTAACCAAAAAAATTAATTGGAAGATCGATATAATGAGTACAACACGAGAAGTCTATTATTAAGACAGATTTACAATTCACTGTTAAAATGCTAATATTAAAGAAACGAAAATTGTAAGCTTATAACGAGTTACAAACGAAATTTTTTTTCAGTGAGATGCATTTTGCTACTGTTAAAGCAAGCAATTTACACAAAAAATTTCATAGGTTAAAAAAAAAATGTTTTTTTTTTGGCTACCAACAAAATTATTTTTATCACGTATTATTCCCTTCGTAGCAGCTTGCTATTAAAATCAATACTCACATTTAAGTCAAAAGGTATTTATCATACATTTATTTTAAATCAACATAGTTTTTTTAAATTAAAAGAGGTAAATATGCTTTTCTTTTTTATTGCTATTTTAACAACAAATATGTGCATTGTACATACTAGCATATAAGTCAAAAAATTTAGTAAAAAAACAACAACAACAAGACATTAAATGAGGGAGTAGATTTATCAGTGGGTCAAAAAGTTGGACGAACGCATGTCGCTTGACCTCTCTCGAAATAGGACATTAAACCAAAATGGGGGTGGGAAACTATCATTGTAAATACAACTGGACTTGAAAAGATAAATTTCACAGTAGTTTATTCATGTTTGGTTAACAGCAGTAAGCTTCCTTGATTGATCATTTTTAAACCTTAAATTTCGTATTAGGTGCCCCTATTAAGGAATAAATCTCTTTTGATGCGGTGTATCAGGGTGGGCACTCAAATCAGGTTTCAAATTTCCCCGATTTTTCTAGGCTTTCCCGGTAAAAATCCCAAAAGTCTCAGGTCAATGTGCTTTTTCCCCTATAAAGTTTAGGATGGGTACAAGAAGTGTCAATATTATAAAGTATTTTATTTAAAACATTATTTTTTTTAAATGTTATTTTATCATCTTTGACTAAGGGGATAGAGTGCTAGACAGCTATTCTTTAAGACGAGTTTGACAGGGTTTTAATGGACCAAATTTGATGCAAGCGAAGTATTGCTAAGTTGATGGTATTTCAACTGTTTTGGCAATCAATTTTGTCTAAAAGTGGGTATAACAGTTGGTAAAAAATAATTTTAATGAAGAAAATTAGTAAAATTAAGAAAAAAATTCCAGGTTTTCTTTCAAAATCCCTGATTTTTCCAAGTTTCTGTCCAAATTTCCCTTATTTTCCCGGTTTTATTCAGTATAAAAAAATTCCCTGATAATTCCAGGTGGGTGGTCACACTGTATATGTTTGTTGTGAAGGAAAAAGAGGCTATGAATTTAAAAACTATACTTGCAGTCATCTATGCAGGGTTGACATTCTTCAACCACTAGATTTATGTCTAATAAGCCTTTCAAGGACAATGTGAGAAAATAAAGGACAGATATTCTAAACTCTGGTTTGCAATGACAAAATACTTTGAAATACTTTGGAAGCAATACCCAAAGGCATGGTAGCACTTAAAAAGAGTTGCATGCAATTGCATTTAATCAACAGCACGCAAGATGATGATTCAGATGAAAGTCTGATTATGAAGATAGGTCAGGCACCAATGTTTATGATGATGCTCCAATGACAGAAAATGATTTTATTGACTATGACAGAAGCGACAAGAAAATATTATTCAATGAATTTGACTCAGATATGATCTTTGATGTATTTCGACATTTTTGTTAAATTAATATATATTTTTTTAAAACACAAATCTTCTTAGTTTTTAAACGCCTGAAAAAATGTATGCAAAAGAAAAGTATGGATTTATACACCAGTAGTAGTAGTAGACTGGTAGTAAACAATGGGTGTTCTGTGTTCTGCTGATCACCTAACCGGAACATGTGCTCCTGCACCCCAGAGCCCAGGGTCAAGAAAACTGAGATGGACACAGTAGGCCTTGGCCGTCTGTGGGCTGTCGCGCCACTGAGTTTAGTTTAGTAGTAGACTTATACACCATTGTTTACATATACAGTATTTGCTTATGAGAACAAGCTCTCTATAGTGACAATTTCATCTGCTTTTGTGAATTGCTGTTATACAAACTTATATACTGTATTTTGCAAAAAAAAAAAAAAAAAAAAAAAAAAAAAAAAAAAAAAAAAAAAAAAAAAAAAAAAAANAAAAAAAAAAAAAAAAAAAATAAATAAATAAAATAAAAAATTTTCATTTCCTTTTGAGAAAAATATTTAAATAAAATATCATGTACTGAAATGAAAGTTATATACATTTGTTATGACATAGAAAATTCCTAAACTTTAGGTTCTGACAATCATAAATGCAGCACTTTACTCATCTCAACATTTTGTGATTAGAAGTTATCAATAGTTCATAATTTTTTTCTCTTATCAAAATTGATTACAAGTAAAGAAAATACTCAAATGAATGATGAAGGGTTCTGTGTATTTTAATTAACAAAAGAGATAATTTCAGATGTGATAAGACTTGGAAGTTCAATGGCAGATCGTAAACACACGTCTAAGGAAACAGAACACTATTTATAGAACAATATCAACTATTTTTATTTCGCTAATTATTCGCATTATTTGTTTCCAAACAAAACTTTACAAAATCACTATTGAGTACTATCTAGGGGCAAGTTTCAACAACGTTTTATTAAAAACATTTGCACACATTGCATCCTTAGGGATCACCTTACTAAACGCCTTAAATTTTCCTGATTGCTTAACAATCCTGAAAAATGGTAATTAAATTAATAAACAATTTGACAAGAACAGATTATTAAATTAAGAGGCCATTAAATTAATCAGTAATATGTCAAGAACAGGCAAAGCAAATCAATAAAAAGATACATTATAGGCACCTCTTTAAGAAAAACATTTTTTTGATTATCAACTCCTCCTTCCTTTTGTAAGGCAATATTCAAATCTTGTAACCTATAAAAAATAATTATAACTATAATAAGAATTGAATGTTAAAATTTTAATGTAGTAAAAAAAATTTAATGATTAGAAATATTAAAAGACTTCTACATCTATCTTACAATTATCACATTTAGCTTCCTTGAAATTTATTATGATAAAAACATCTAACAAGGAAAACTTTTTTGGGCAATGTTAGTTTTTCCAATAAACAAATTTTAAAATTGTCAAAATAAATTATTAAATCTTCATAAATATCACCATTGAAAACAATTACAAACTGGAACAAAATGAGAAAAATAGACCTTAAGCAATTACACCTTGATATATTTCCTCCCAATATATTTCTTAGCTTCCAAACAATCCTCACAAGGAAATTGAGAGTATTGCTAAGGAAAAGCTTTCAATGTATTAATAGAAAATTTATTGCATAGTAATATAGATACAAAACGAGATACTGAATTATGGGCAAGAACTGAAATCGATTTGATTTCAAATGGACTGCAGACTGTTCAAAGGAAAAGATATTATACCATATAAAGCTTCCCATTTTTAAAAAACATAAACTATACATTTTACACATAAAAGTCATGCAACGGAAAACAAAGTTTTAAATAAAAAAATGTGTAACATATTTGACATCACATTTAGAAAGTTAAAAAAAAAAAAAAAAAAAANAAAAAAAAAAAAAAAAAAAAAAAAAAAAAAAAAAAAAAAAAAAAAAAAAACTATTTCATAGGGTTGACAAGGTAGGTTCCAAATTACATTGGATAAATAAAAATATATGGTACTGAAATATTATGTGATATGTATAATCAACTTTTTCAATTTAAAATTAAAAAAAAAACAAAACAGTCAAACGTTAAACAAATAGTGTGTAGTCAAAATAATGAGGAAATGCATTGTGAAATGGACAATTCATTCCCAAATAGACAATTCATAACACATCTAAACATGACTACAAAGATTTTAATCTAGCAATAAATTTTAAACATAAAAAATAAATAAATAAAAAACAGATATTTAAAAATTTTTAATAATCATAAATACACTAAATAATTTAGACAAATGATAAAGAATTATAATGTTTAGAAAAAAAAACAAACACTAACTTTTGCAATGATAGTAAATTGCATAATTTGTCAACTTCTTTCAAATGAGATATTTTAGTTTCTTCATCTGAAGCATAATAATTGTTTTTTTCGCATAGCTGTTGAAACAATTTTCTTTCTCGCTTTTGCTGCTTCTTAAGTGCTTCTTTTTCCTTCTTCTCTTTTTCTTTCTAAAAATACACATAAAGTGACAGCTCAAAAAAAAATATTTTATAACCGATACATTGTTTTGCAGCATAAAGTGTTCGGCAACAAAGAGTAAAGAAAGAAAATAGATAAATAATTCAAGTCTCATCAGGGCTGCAACATCAATAATAAAATTGTCCAAGATAAAAAGACATTTAATATTAAATGAAATTGTAGATTGTGCCATACGTGGATATTCATTTTATGATTTGTTAATTAAATTAGAAAGAGTTTAAGTAACATAATTTACATATATTTGATTTCTTCAGGAAAAAATGAATAATAGTTTCTATGTAGAAAATTAGAGACCTAAAAAATATCATTTACAACAAACCACAAAAATGTAATAAATATAAAGAGAAAAAAAAAAGTTTAATCCAAAGTCAGAGAAATTTTATAAGGTAAATCGAAATTGCAAATAAAACCTTTCACATGAGTTCCATTCTAAAAATACTTCAAGGCAGTATTTTTCCTCTCCATCAATTAACACAATCTAGAGTTGTTTACTAGAATTTTCAGAAATTTATAGTTGACCAATTCTAAAATGCACCATTCTATGATAAGTACTTAATATATAGGGTATCTGCTACATTTTAGATTCTCCTGACATTTAGAACTTTTCCTGACTTAACGAAGTTACTATTTTCTCAGACAAAAAAACAATAAATTCAAAAATGCATTAAATATTAATTGAAATGATAGGCATAACGAAAACTGTTATACTCTGCATCTTCATATGTATAGATTTTTAATTTAAAAAACAGAGTAAAGAAAGAGTTGAAGCAATAAAATAGCTGAAAAAAATACAAAAGCAAATCGTTTTGTTTTTTCTTTTTTACTGCAGAATTATATTCTAAAGATACTTTTCCAGAACAGAAAGGAAAGAAACACTCCTAATTCTTCTGTTCTCACTTCAGAATTAAAAATAAATAAATAAGAATAACAACAAAACTTCTGAAATCACAGAAGTTTAAAAGATAATTCGCTCTAGAAATGATGTTTTTTCTTAAATTTTTTAAAAGAACATCATAATTTTATACATATTTTAGTTGTATATAAAATATCTATGCATTGTATTGTTTAATAGTCAGTTGGAATATTTATTCTTAACAGTATTTCTTTATGAAAATTAGAATGCTATTCTGAATTGGAAATGAATTAGTGAATTACAATTATAAATAGTATACTAATTTTCATAAGCAAATACGGTCAAGAATAAACACTCAAACTGACTATTAAACAATACGATCCATAGATATTTTATAATTCTATATACAACTAAAATAAGTATAAATTTTTATTATTATTTTTTTAAAACAAAAATAAATGTAATTTCCTTTTAAACTTTTAGTACTATATTAACTCTTTAAAGTCCGAACTTCTTAACGACCTTCTTGGACCTCTGAAGGTGAATGGGTAGTAGTGATTGATGAGCTGCTTGACAGTGATGTATAGGAACTCATAAAAAGTCAAAAGGAAAGAGGTGTGTGAACTTCACGCTTTATTTAGAAACATTTCCCCCTGTGGTTTTAGGGGAGCGGTTTATCAAATTAACATTCACCCAAATGTTGTTCCTGTGTAAAATTCCGTCTCGAATCTGCCGAGTAGGGCAGTTTGAATACACGAATTTCCCGGAGCAGTAGTGATCAGGAGAGGAGAAGTGCAGCAAAAAATCAGTGACTGGATAAAAGCAGCAGCAGAGACTTTAGAACACTCCTAAATCAGCAATAATTGAATCTGTCGCGAAGGACAGAATTGATCCAGAAACTTTCGAATCATCCTGAAAGATCCTGAAATTATTGGATTATTTTGTGCAAATCCGAAAGGCAGTCAACTTTTCCGGGAAGTGCAATCGTGAAATCCTCGGATTCACAGAAAAGGGATGTGAAGTCTGAATAATCTGGTTTGAATCAACGAAACATTGAATTACCATTGGACACTGAGAGTCTCTTCAATCAAGGTAACTGTGTCTGGTAGCTATTCTGATGAAAAAATGAGGACATTTTACTGCAGGATGGCCGAATATTGTAGGATTTCAGCGACATGGTGTAATATCTCAGCCGATTGCATCATTCTTTATCATATAATACTGAGAAGAAATCATGTGATACTACTTCCTAGTAGAGAGGCGCCATCCAGTCCGAAGGGAAACTCCCGAATTTATAATTAACTCTTACTTTATACCATATAACAATCTATTTCTTATACACATGCATTCCGGAGACCACTGTGCGAAGGCAGCTCTCACAAGTCATGTCAATAATGTTAAACTTATCCTTCTATCCTTTTTATTTCCATTAAATTGTCATGTTCGTTAAATTATCGTCGTTATTTACTCCTATGCTGCACTAACTCCCACATATATATATTATATATATAGGGGAAAATGACAAAATGAATAGATTTATTAGAGAAAAGGTTCATAGTGAACCTTTTAAATCATTTGCTGCTAAAAACGAGTTTAAATGCAACAAATTGAAAATTTCTAATAGAAAAAATCATCAATCAGGAGAATTGCTGAAGGCGATTTTCCTTGATCACGGAACAGGGAAAGGATAGTAAATCCAGTTCTTTTGTGACTAAGCCGAAAAGGGAAGCTAATAGGTAGGCATTGACAATAGCAATTTATCTTGTTTGAAAAATACTTGGAATCTATTTCTATTCACTAAACGCCGCAATTATTTGCTGTACCATTTGGTAGTACTCTCATATGATTAGTAGGTAAAGTCTGTAAATGAGTGCAGGTGGTTAAATAGAATTGACAATACGCTCATTTGTAATGCTAAATCTAACCCAATCAATAGTTTACTCAATTAAATAAATTATTTAATTTAGTAGCAATTTTAAAAGTTAACCTCTAATTAAAAAAATAAAAATAAACCCACCAGCTAAAATGCATTCCAGTATACAGTAAAAGGATTATGCGTCATCTCTTAATTTAAACTTATGTTAGTCATTTGTTAAATAGTAAAATGGGCATAACTATCATTGTGTAATCATGTTCCTTTTCTTTCGATATTTTGGAGCTAACAGAAAAAATGGGGAGAAGTAACCAGCTGATAGTCGGCTAAAGAAAAAATATGCTAATTTGTATTAAGGATAAAAAGAAACCTAAGAGTGTGATACCCTTTCAAATCATTAGGCAGGTAAAAAGGAGTCTGAATATAATAAATTAAAGATTTCTAAGGAATATTCATTCAAAGGTGAGAATAGATTATCCCCTGTCAAAAATTGTGAAAAAAATGCCTCTCCCTTTTGTGACTAAACTGAGAGGTTGAACTGAGATTGCCAATTGAATAATCGGATAAAACTATCTTGTTTGCGCTAAATTGCTTGTAATTTATTTATTATTTAACTTCAAATCCAATGTTAACCATTTGGTAATATATTTATGCGGGTAGAATCAATGACACGTCACACTTGTAATTTAAATTAATTCAACCACATTTAATTTGCACCCAGTTGCTAACATCCAATTTGGAAATGTAATCGTAATTTATTTTAACTGTTAAATTGCAATTCAAACTAAAAATAATTTTTTCTCCACGTCATTTTGATGCATTATTGTTCTTTAAGTTATAGTTCAAAACAGTTTCATTGCATTTAAAATTAATTTGTATAATAAGGAATAACTTTTTTATGTATATTATAAATATTCATCATAATTAATTGTTTTCATGCTGCAATAGATTTTTAAAACTAAACGAAAAATAAAAAAAGGCATCAAATGCGGTTGTGATATTTCTGCACATTGAACTGGGCATCATCCGAAATAAATATGAAAATAAAGTTTCACTGCAACTGAGAAACTTTTTATTCATTTATAAATTTAGTTAAGTAGAGTTTCAATAAATAAAAATGTGCTTGTATGAATTTAAAAAGAAGGGATTTTTAAAGTGTTTAAAATTATGCTTAGAAGATGTATACTTTACTTTTAAGATGATTATCTGCATCTTTAAATTAGAAAAAAAAATTTATAATAATGAAAAAAAATCTTTATTAATAAAGATTTTTTTTCATTATTATAAATTTTTTTACTTATGACTTTGAAGATTTAAAAATATTTAATTATGCTTTCTTTTTATCCAACGAAATTAATTAAATTATGTTATAATTAAAAAAAATATATCACAGCAATTGCAGCCTTTATTAATTTTAATAATAAAATAATTTCCTTTTAAAAAATGCATAGTTAAAAGGGAAAAAGATAATTTTCCACATTTTTTTTGATAGAAAAGATTTTACAAATGAAATATTTTTTTGTCCATCTGAACCAAACTGATCTCATTTTACTTACAAAGCTAAAGTACACCTACAAGACCACTAAAGTGTACGTTCAAATGAAAATAAATACTGAATGAAGATGGGTATAGATAAATTGTAGAAACTTGTATCATAAACAAACGACTTGATGTTGGAGAAAACAGATGAAGTTAATAAATAAATAAATAATTTAAAAAAAAATGATATCCGATAAGTCAGACATAAGATGTAATTTCAAATTTTTTCTTTACAATAAATTGAAAAGAAATGAGTTAATTTTTTACCATATCCCATAAGCATCTGCTTTTTTTTTCAAAATTTACTTAAAAAAAAAAAAAAAAATTTTTCTTCAAACTCAAATTCTTCAATTTGCAAGTTTTTAACGGTATTTTAAGAATCAGTTTCCAGTTTCAGCTTCTCTTCTTTCAGTTACACCCAAACAACGTTTTGAAAGCAGCATTTGAAAGTCATTTCTGTTATTTTTTCAAGCACTCAATTAAATCAGAAATATAGCTCAAGGAAATATTTCTCTAATAATTAATACAGAAACATTTCCTTTATCAAACTTCAATATTATTAGAACTTTATGTGACCCATAAAGCTTTAAAAAAAAACACATGATTTTAGTTAATATTAACTTAAACAAAAAATAACTAAAAAAATATGTTTCTGTTACTTTGAGAAAGCTGAATTTTCGACACATTTTTGAGATAATTTTTTTCTACTTTTTTGCATGATGTAGGCATTTGAAAATAATCTGTTTTAAGAAAAAATAACCACAAATTTAAAAAATAAATAAAATTACAAAAAACTAATGTATAAATAAAAGGAAAATATGGAAAAAAAAAATCTCATTATTTACTTAATTCCTGCTTTTGAATATTTAACCCGAAAAACGTTCCATGGGGATGAAATAAGCAATGTTCACAAGCGGATTGTCAGTTTGAATGCCATGAAGTTTCACTGACAAGTAGAGCACGCCTTTGATTTATTAGTGAAGTGGGGGAGCAAATGACCTGCTGTGAAGCAAATGACTAAAGAGAAACCCCCAACAAAGAGGGTGAGTTCATTTGTGATTTTTCCCTTCTGAAAAACTGAGAATGTTAACGGTGGTAAAATTTCCACTGCTTGGGTCGTTAAAGAGTTAAATTAAATCTGTTTAAATATAACAAAGCACAGAAAAAAAAATTGCTAAACAATAATATTGATAATTTTTAGTATTTCCTAGCTTGGTCTTCCAGCGTTTTCACTGAGCTGGGCTTTTATCAAACAAAGACTAACGTGCATTATCAGAAAGTAATGTATTTGAAGTGTATGAATAATTTTAAGGAATGTATTTTTATACCTTTTTCCCCCTACATCAGGGGATTGGCGTTATAAGTCATATCTTTTCATACAGACAGATGGCAGTCTGCACTGTTTAATTATGCTGGGTATGATATTCTATAGGTACACCAGAGACTGTACGGAATCCGATTAATAGCAGTCGGTCATTCGGTCTCAGTCTCAATTTGTTTGAGATGTTATTTTTAATAAAAGTATCTGTGTTTTGAATGGATAACACAATTAATTGACATAAAACTGCAATCCTCATAAAAGAAGCAAAACAAGAAATGATGAATGCAACATTTACTAATAGAAATTGAAGCACGGGTCTGCCAAAAATAAATCCTCCATTTGGAGTTTATCGAAGACGACAAAGGTAGGAGAAGTATTTCCTATCTTAATTCCAAATGAAAAATTTAGGTGAAGAATTAATTTAACAAAAGGAACATCTTAGGCTTCAAATGAAAAAACTTGAACAAGAAATGAAAAATTTTTGTATCAGGGTGCTTAGCACATGCACCCTAATCATTCCCCCCCCCTCTATTGTTGAAAGTTCATATGTATAAAAACGATTTCAAAAACTTTACATGAACATGGTAAAATAACTAGTTTCTGACAAAGAACTATTTTCTTGGTTATATTAATCGCCAAAAAAAAACAATTTAATCAGAAATTTAAATACAGTACCACAACAATATTTTGGGAATCAAATAAATATATTGTTGTAGAGGGATATATTGTTCTACATACTTTGGGGACACAATAAGATATTTTAATGTTATATATGTATTAACTATAAATATATTATGCAAAACATTATTTTCAGATTGCTAATTATGGTTAAATATTCAAAACAATTGAAATAAATTCAGAAAATAAGACTGTAAGCCTACCCGAAAACCGTTTTTATTGAAAATCTGATATTTTTGTCTGTTTATTTATCTTTTTGACTGTCAAGCCAACCAACAATGGTGCTCCACCCACCCTCCATAGAAAAAATTATCTTTCAGGTGCTAATATGATGACTGTGGCCATTCTTTTAACATGAAGGTAATGAAATTAGATAGGAATGTCACATCTCTGATTTTTTAAGAGATACAAGAGGCAGTTCTAAGGATGGAAGCTCTTGGTGTGGTCAGCAGTGAGTCTTCTCTTGTGAGAAAAGATGGAAAAAATGGCAAAATATGATAAATTAAGATTTTTACATTATTGGAAAACCAATTATAAATGGAGAAAATAACGTTGAAATTTGGAAAAAAATCGTTTTACGGGGGTTTATTGCTTCAGAGAATATCGTAATATTGAGAGGAGCATGCAAGTTTGTCAGGACCATGAAACACTATTGTAATAAAAGGAGTTATTGTTGTATTGGATATCATACTAGCGAGAATTCACCGTATATTCAACATTGAGTCCTTCATTCCATTTTTGAAATAAATAATTAGTTAAAATATAATTCAAAAAAGTTATCATATACTTAGATTTTTTAGACATAAATAAATATATCTATTTATAAATGCATATTCAACAAAACATTAACAAGATTAATATCATTGACCATACTGAATTTATAAAGATATGTAAAGTAAAGAATTAAGTTAACAAAGAAAACTTAATAAATTCCTATTACTAATGTAAATTAGTGAAAAGCCCCCCTTTTTTAAAAATTTTTTTTTTAATGAAATGATTACAAAATATTTAAATAATTTTTAATAGTAAATACAATGAGTATTGAAGTCAAACATTTTTGTCAGAAGTAAATTATATGGTTCTTACAATCATAGCATTTAACAAATCTCAGATAATAGAATATTTATTTAAATTGTTTTTAATTCAAATTATTTAGAGACGAACTAAAGTTCCTTGGAATGAGTGCATTTGCTAAATGTTAAAGTAGCAAAAGCTACTCACTTTATACTTTCATTAAAATCTTGACTCTAAATATTATTGAATTCTTTTTTCTCCATAAATAATTTAAGAGCACTGAAAATTTTAAAAACAATAAAGTACAATAAAAAGTTTAAAATTTTTTTATGCAGTAAGTGGATGGTCCATCAGGTAAAAAAAATCATACTATTAAAAATTTCAATTAATTTTTATCTTTGTTACATTTAGTGGAGATGGGAATTTTGAGGTGATGAAAGCTTTGTGATTGTTGACTGCATAGGATCCATACGTAATTAAAGAGTGATCTCCAAGTTAAATTCAAGGATTGCGGTACAGAGAGAATAGCAGAAGTAGGTCATTAGTTTGCCAGTGAGGGAGATGATGGCGCTTTACCAGCGATAAAATAAACGAGAGAAATAAAATTTTCATTTGCTATTAGGTAAAAGTTTGATGATATTTAGCATGTCTCCATGATCAACAAAATTCAGAGAAATTTTTCAGTTAAATTTCAAAGAGCAGAAAGTGAATCCTGGAATCGAGAATCTCTTGTGAAATACAGCAGAGTTGCACATGAGAGTGTAAAATTCTTCCCACCATACACATGGGGCCCAGCAAGTAATTCATCAAACATGCAAAATGATTGGCACTGTCATGTTCAAAATCGACATGGTAAAAAAACAATATTTCATTTTGGAAAAGAGAAAATATTGGAAATGAAAAAAAGCATCTTTAAGATATTTCAAAAAACAAAAATAATCACATTTAAGCACATTTTAAAAAGGGCATGCACCCTGTGTAGGTATGCCAGAGACCGTATGGAAGATAATTGATAACAGTCGACCACATTCCTAATTTGTCTGATGTGTTATTTGTAATAAAAGTGTCTGTGTTATAAAATCTGGATAACACAACTAATTGAAATAAACCCGTAACTCCATAAAAGAAGTAAGATCCCACAGTATTAAATTACATTTCGAATAGTGAGTCATAAAACAATTTTTATACTAATTAAAAAAAGTTTCAGACATCTTATAAAAAATTTTAGGAAACCAAACCTTTAGTTTATTTTCTTCTTCCTCCTTTTCTCGCTGCCTTTGTTCAGCTTCAAGAGCTTCCTGTTCCTTCTAAAATGAAATTAAACTATATATATATATATAGATAGATAGATATATATATTTTCATTAAATTAGATGTTCTTAAAATACTAAGTGCTGTATAAACATTTACCAGTGCACCACAAAAAGGCAGGACAAGTTAAAAATTTTTGTTACAGAAATGCACAAAGCATGCATAAAAGTTTAAAGTTATGGAATATAATTTCTTACAAATGTAAATAGTGAAAAAACATTGTATTATAAAGCTATTTTGTTATCCATTTTACTAAATACTTCTCCTGCAGCCCAGACCAGGCCATCGCAACAAGTTTCTTCCAATGGACTTTATCAGATATTAATACTTAGTTATCTAAATAACTCACTTTTTTCTTTTCTTCCATTTTTAACCTTGCTGCTTCTTCTTTTGCTTTCTTTTGAGCAATTTTACGATTTTTTTCTTCCTCTTTAAACTTCAAAATTCTAGGGTCACAAGCGTAAGCATTGTCTTGTAAGAGGAAAAGAAATCTTATTTATATTAAACAATATTTTTTTGAAAAACAAAATAAAGATAGTAGAATAATTTATTTACACTCAATTCATATCAATACTAACTTACTAATTTATGTATAAATAAATTCAACAAAAATCTTTCACAACCACAATAGCGATAATATAATAAACCAATATTATAAACAAAATTATGAAAATCTATCTGAAGTGGAATTAAGACTTTCAAAAAATAAACCTAGATTAAAACTTACTTTTATCCTACATTGAAAAATTTACTAAGTTATATTTAAAAAACACAAAGCTAAGAATTCACTGTTAAACATTACTTATTTAGAAACAAATACACAATCCTTTATCTATATCTGTTACAAGTGTAGTAAAAACTTGAATAATTTCAAAGATTGAGAGGATAGGCAAATTTCAGATCTATGAAATTTCCTGATACTTGAGTACAGAAAACCTAAATTTTTAACAATACCTTACTTTCTGGGAAAATGTTGTCCTCTAATAAAAACAAAAATTACGGCAATCGATAATAAAAAAATTACTATAGAGGACGAAAAACCAAAATTCGGTTTCCATAGAAATTGTAAAAGATAAACAAATAATGTCAAAAAACTTACATAGCAAAGTGGGAAAAGCGTGCAAGAGAGCATGTAATCACTATTTGTTTTTATTATTCAATACTGAAATTCTTGATATTTTGTATTGCTAAATTTAGAGGGGAAAATAAGCCACCATCAATAAAAAATAAAAGTATTTTTTATTTTTAAAAAAAAAATCTGATCTTTGAAAAATAAAATTATAATAGTTACTCACAAAATTGAAAATGAAACAGCAAAGTTGCAAAAAGTGCATAAGAGAAACAGAAAAAAAAATATCCACCTTGATTTCTACTATTATCCACTTTGATTTCTACTATCAGGAAAGATATAACGAAATTAAAATTGTTTTACTAGAAACACTCATAAAACTTTCTGTATTATCATGTTCAGATTTCTCAAGAGTAAATCTAGGTTGAGTCGGAAATTCTTAGTTGTACTATGTCATAATTTTGATGAATAATTATCAATTAATTTTTTCTTAACACAGTTATTGGACTTAATGCGACGGATTTGCTGAGTTTTTGGCTAACAATCACCAATAATACTAACTACCTAATTTATGCTCTATCATTTTATTCATGTTCCTTTTCTAATTATTTTAAATTGCTACCCATAATTATCAATTTTNGATTGTGTATTAGTATTATTTGTTTGCTTCTAAGTTCTCAGTGCAATAAAGTTTCTGTGAATGTAACGTAAGTTACCATGGAATAGCCCTTCTTCTAATTTTTAACATATTTCACTCTGAATTAGCACCATTTAAAACATAATACTGAACTCGTAACAAAGAATACTTTCTTTTTATGACAAAGGCACTAACTCGTCCAGGAAGGTCATAAAAAATCATTACACTATTATTGACGCCAATAGTGCTTAATTAATTTTGGTAATAGGCACTTTTGCAATTTTAATTAATACCAAATGTACTAATGCAGGTAATATTCAGTAGCTACTAAAACTGCATTAATATTGTGCAGTTTTACTATAGATAATATGGAAAGAGGTGTTTTATAGGTCTTAGAAAGGGATAAGTCTGAATCTGAGTACATATCATGAGTTAGCCTTGAGCAACAACATCATTCCAAAAGATATTGAATAATTAATCATTACTTTGATGGTATGAACTACTAAAAGCCAGTTTAGCTCCAATAAGGCTGTCGTGAACCGGACTCGAATGCCAACAATGGCTGATTAATATGAATTCCGCATCCGGCTTGCACCGACCACAGTGGTGACATAAAATATCTTCAGCGGTAGACAGATCATGGGTTCTCCTAGCCGATAGGCGAATCGTGGGAGGTTTCCTACTCAATGTAATGTAAATATGTGAGTTCCACTAAAAAGTCTTCCCCGAAGGCAGATTTCTTCCAATACTTGATTTAGGAGTTCCCTTGTCTTCTGGATTGGGTTCACAATTACAAACTACAGAGTTGAACATTAGTCGTAAACCCGAAAAATTGGGTTGGTTGTTCAACGACAGTTATAAAATAAAATAAAATTCAATAATGTAAAGCCATTGGCAAGGCAAAAAAATAAATAATAAAAATTATTTTAGCCTTAATGATTGTGTTGGTACAAGATTTTCAATTTTGTACATTTCGTAGAGTTAAGAACTGATTTATTCATTTTTTCACAATTATGGAAAACAGGTCTTCAACTAGAATTCTATGAAGAATATGTAACTTCTAAGGTTTATTCTAGAAGTAAAGAGTTGCAATGCAACAAAATTATATTGTAATTAAAATATCAACCTACACAGGGCTTTTATTTGAAATTAAATAAATTATATTCACCAACTAGTTGTCTTATCCTTGCCATTTCCTCCTTTTTTAACCTCTGACGAGCAGCTTTATTTTGTTTTTCAATCCATTTTCTTTCTTCCCGACTATAAAAAATTCACAATCAAAATTCAAGTAAAGTTTTGATAATAAAAAAACATTTGCCAAACAATATTCATTAGTCTTGAATCATTTTTCTCTCTCTTTGTTATGAAACTTATTAAATGCATAAAATAAATTTTACATTAAAAATTAACAACAAAAAAAAATTAGAAGTGTCTGAGAGGTATCTGGATTTTTATTTAAAACTTTTCATTAGGTTAATAATTTCGAGAATCTATTTATGTGGCTGTGTATGTGCAAAGCTATTAAGTGTCTGAGAATTCTCACTGTATTTTCCTCAGAAATCTAGAAATTTAAAAATATTGAATACTAACATTATCACACCCTGATCTGGAAAGGAAACACTTTTACTACGTAATAGTCAGAAATAGGGAAGTTCTCCAAATGTGGGAACATAATTTTAAGTTCTGGCAAAACAATTAAGTTTAAATTTAATTAACAGTAAAAATGTTTGTGCCAAATTATAATTCTGAACAGTGACTTGAATAAACATAAATTATTGTAAAAATTTTTGATGACTATACAAAATTATTTTTCTAACCAAGAGTAAATTTTGGACATTACTAATGTTAACTGAGACAAGGCAACACTAAAAAAAAAAAAAAAATTTTTAAATAGTTTCTATATGCCTAAAAATAAAGTAAAAATAAGAGCAAATAGGAAAGTAAATTAACAAAATCATTCATGAAAGACAACAATAAATAAGTCATACTGCTTTGTGATTACAGAGTAAGGCACTTTTTTATCCAATCATTTTTCAAGTTTTTTCTTATGTTTCTGTCACAAAATGCCATTCTCTCACACAAGAATTTTAGAAATAGTTAAAATATGCTACATATGCACTGCAGATAGTTTTTCTCATAAATGCACAAAGATAGTCCAAAAATTCAATGTAAAAAATTTGTATTATTTAAGTAGAAAATATGATATAGTTCCTTCACCAGGAGTCGGCACTTAGCTCCGCCTTCATCATGTGATATCCGCTATCTTTGGGAGAAGGATGTGAACAGTCCTGAACAAGGTTGCTATTTAGCGACCGCATAAAAAAAAAAAAAAATTATTTTGCAATCTTCATGGGCATTTTTTTTTAACATTAAATTTTTCATAAATTTGATGACATTTCTCTCTTTTGAGTGAATAGTCTGTCCTTTATGAGAAATTTATTTACTGTTTGCATTTGTTGCGCATTAAGGGTTGTTTCAATTTGAGGCGCGGAGATGTTTCTCCTCTTACTCTTGAGCTGAAAAGAACTCTTCGTTCGATGAGGTGGAGCCAAGTGCGAACTCCTGTTGAACGAACTATATGTACAAAGAGAAATGACTACTTGGACTTAACACAGTTATCAATGGACTTCAGAATTAGCGACTGTTAATGTCATTTTTTTTTACATAATTTGAAAAGTGCCCAGTGCTGCCAGTGTGTATGGAATAAGCATTAATATTAAATAAAAATTAATATTTTAGTCAAAAATTATTATTATTCACTTTTCTCCTTTTTCTTTCTCCTCTTCATCCAAGTAAGAATATTCTCTCCAGGACTCAAAGTCATACCTTCAGATATACATGAAACAGAAAATATATATCTATGAAATATAGGACAATATTCTCAAGAACATTATTTCTGATAGCATACATGTATACACTTTAACATAAGGAATAAGGAATAACATTGGGGAAATAAAATAACAGAGATTTAACAATTTCTATTCTTCAAGTAAAGTTTTGAAACATTAAGCATAATCATTAACTCAAAAAGAGAAATTCGAAATCTAAGCACTTACATTTAGTGAAACAAAATATATATATATATAAATCTTAATCCATAGAAGACTTATTTAAACCATTATTTATAATTACTTAAACTATAAACACTCAACATACTCCAGTACTGGAAATAGCACCATCTGTTAAAGAATAAGAGATGTATTTTTTGCCATCAATGGATATCTTATCACCAATTTTTTTATTATATTTTTAAAATTTCTTCAACAAATACGGAGAAATTTGAGAACATATGGGTAAACAGGAGATAGTCGTAAAACACATGAGTCTTTGCTAAAAAACAGGAGACTTGGCAGGTAAGTGATAGGAAAAAAAGTAAGGAAAAATGTATAACAGCATTATGTTTTTCCAAAAATCTTTTCTTGTACAGGTAACGTTCAAATAATATTTTTTAGTGTTTTCAGAAAAGATGAAGGCACATATTTATTCAATCAGGCCTTTGAGTACAGATAAAATTTTTTAGCGAAAGGATAGAGTAACATATTACCGTCATACCTTGGGACATTGACAGCTTTTGAAAAACCAAACTGCAACATTGGCATCATTATTGTTTCTCGTTATGATACTTAGCCAATTTATATAACATCACAGCAAAATATTCAAAGCACGATTTGGTCAGAAAAGAAAACTTCATGACCTAAAATTAGTTTTTGCTTTAATTTTCTTAATATAAACTTAAAAGTCAATTGAACTAAGTTTATTTGGTTATGCAGAGTGGGGCAATGAATCAGAAAATTTGAAAACAGTGGTTTGGTTAGAGCAAGGAGAACTTTGCCTATGTTTTAAAATTTTTTTGCCATTTTAAATTCACGACTACAACTAGCATATTTTTCTGCGAGATTTAAATTGACCATATTTTGATTTCATAAGGTGATTTTACTTTGATACAGAAAAGCACCAAGAGACAAGTCCCAAGGAATAACATAATATAATTTGTCCAAATATAAAACTTTCACCCAAAGCATAAAGAAAGTTTCAAGATGTTGACGCTATAAAAAGAAGTCACATAATAGTTTAATTTCTACTTGAAAGACTGACAAGTCTTTATATATGAATCCTTAGAAAAAACATGTAACAGCATGAAAAGTATTTTGTATTTAAATGCTGTCTTTAGATTATGAATCAAAATATTATCATTCAAGTTAAAAATTACGATGCAAAAAGTACCACAGTCTGCCCTGTACAGGATGTATCACTACCACACTGAAAAACTTCTAGGTAAGGCACATAATGATTCAGAATTGTCTAACAACCCACGGCTAGAAATGTTATTGTATGTCGTTAGGAGTGCTTCCCTATTATGAACTAGTTCCATACATATCTTTGATATTCATTTATCTAAATTATCTTAGTTTCATGTTTTCTAATAATTATTGTCGAAAATGGCATTTAAATTGGTCCACGTCCAGTATTGGGTTTTAAATTCTAATTTAAAGATTTGGCAAGTTTGTAAAATTAGGCGCCATATCTTTAAATCAAGATCTAATACTGAATTAATTGGAAAGCCATTTTCAATAATAATTTTTAGAAAGCATATAACTAACATAATAAATAAAAATACTCCTTTGCAGGCGCACGTAAAAACAGCACAGTTATAGGAAAGCTCTCCTAGCGTTGTGCAAGGATTCCAGTCTGGTTCTTATGCAATTCTTAATTAAATGCCCTTAGAAGTTTGTTGGTGTGGTAGTGAATCACTTTGTTTAAAGGATCCAAAACTCTAACGATGGAGCATCCACATTGAACAGTTGACTTGCTACTTGTGATATGACAATATAAATAAGAAAGTTAAATAAAAGTTTCTAAAAGTAAATACATACCAAAAGCTGTAAAATGTATCAACTTCCTCAAATGTAGATTTTTTATTTCCAATTGCTGGAACAGGTTGTTTTATTGACCATCTGCAAAGATTTATAATAAAATACTAAACGTTATATAATGACAAAATACATAAGATTGAGTCATAAAAAGTTGTGTGTCTAGTCAATAAGAAAACTTTTTAAACTAAGAATTCTACAGACTAAATAAATTAAAATTGTATATAATTATAATCTAAATTTCTTTTTTTATAATGTTCATTTGTTTAAAATACGAGGGTTGCTATTTATATTTCCGGCCTAATAATGAAAAAACAAATATGTAGGATCGAAATTGGTTTTATTGCTTTTCAAAATATTCTCCATGATGATCAATACACTTTTGCATGCGTTTGAACCAATTTTCAAAGCACTTTTTCCAGTCCGATTGAGGTAACCGTTGATGTTCATTTACAAATGCATCAACCGCTTCTTCGGGGGTCGAAAATCGTTGTCCACGTAATTTATTTTTGATGTATGGGAATAATAAGAAGTCATTGGGTGCCAAATCAGGGCTGTACGGCGGATGACCCATCAGTTCGATCTTTCGATCCCTTAGAAATGCCTTTGTTTGAGTTGATGTGTGAGAGCTCGCATTGTCATGCTGAAGAATGATTCGCCTGTTCTTCTGCTTTTTTCGAATTTCTTTGATGACTTCTGGCAAACAAATGGTCGTGTACCATTCAGAATTGACCGTCCTGCGTTGCTCTAACGCCACTGTTGCCACATGACCGTTAATGCCGAAGAAACAGGCAATCATTTGTTTCGATGTGCTTCTTCCTCGAACAACTTTTGTTGGTTTTGCCTCGTCTTGGAAGACCCATACAGTTGATTGCTGTTTTGTTTCCGGCTCATATGCATAGATCCATGATTCGTCACCTGTGTAGATGTTATACACAGCCTTTGATGTACCTTGAACGTATTTTTCCAACATTTCCTTGCACCAATCGACACGAGCCTTTTTTTGAGCGTTTGTCAGATTATGCGGGATCCAACGCGAACAAATTTTTTTTACGCTCAAATGTTCATGCAATATTTTATTGATGCTAGTCATACTAATGTCCAAAGACGCCTCTATCTCACGGTATGTCACGTGACGATCTTGCTTTATCAGTTCACGCACAGCATCGATCTTTTCTGGCACAGCAACGGATTTTGGACGACCTGCACGGGATTCGTCCTGGATCGAACACGATTAAATTCGTTATACCAATTTTTCGTTATACCAATTTCCATATTCTAAAGAAAAAAACTAGATAAAATTCTTAAATTTTTTTTTTCTTATTCGAAATTAAAATATTTAAAGAATTCCAATCTAATCACATTTTTTAAAAGTTTAGATTAGTTAATTGTTTCTGTTTTTACAATTGGATAGTTTCATGGTGTTGCACGAACATAAACCAAAGTTAAGTTTATAATCATAAAATTTTTATATAAAATATTTAGTACATCATAACCTATCAAAAAAACATTTCCCCCCATAAAAACTGATTATAATAAGTTCAAATTAAATGGATAAAACTGTTGGCGTCGGGCAAAAATTGCACGAAAGTAAAAAATGATTACTCATTTACAAATTGTCTTAACTCTATGAATTTGTTTGTACTTTAAATGAAAATTTGACTGATTTTTAAGCTGGGATTTGAATAAAGAATTCTATGCAGTCATTTACTTGTAAAATATGATACATAATTAATTTACTTTGATATCACATGTAAAATTTTTAGTGTTGGACACAAGTTGAATAAAAATATAAGTTAACGATAACCATTATAACGAATGAAAATTACCTTAATTTCAATCTTAATATTATATTCGATAAATAGCTTCTTTAATTTAAATTGTCCTCTATTTCCTGTTGAAATAGATGGATCAATGTGTTTTATAACATTTTCTGTCATCTAAAAACTAGTCGAAAAATCATTTATTTTAATTATGGTACAGTACGTACATTAACAACAATGTAAAAAGAACTCTTATTTAGGCAATATTTCCTTAAATCTAATAATTTTTAAAATCCTGAAATTAAAAAAAACTGCCGTTAATTTTCTTCCTCTATTTTTTCTTTAAATAACTTGAAAAAAAAAAAAAAACGCAGAAAAATATCTTTTTATAAATGATAGAAAAATTTTAAAATATGCTATTGTGCATTAAAAGGGGAAAAAAAAATAAAAAACTACCTTGTCTTATTAGTCTAATAATTCTTTATGGAAAAAAAAGATTTTTTTGAACAGAAAAAATGCTAATAATCGCAAGAGTCATTAATTAAATAATTGTTTTGTACAGTTCTTTCAATCTATTGTATTTGAAGTTTCAAAACAGATGATATAAATCGATATACCTTTGACTTGTAGTCAGTGGCACAGTCAGCAGGCAACAAGAAAGAACATATGTCCCCGGTTGTAGCATTAGAAATGCGTCAAATTTATGAAAAATTTAAAATTGATTCAAGAATAAATTTTTATTTCTTTTTCATACGATTATCTCTTTATTATATGTAACCTTTGTTTCTTATATCCTTTTAACATAATATAATTAGCTGAATGCCTTCCAGATTGATTTGTCAATTACAGAACCAATAACTACTAAAAGTTGAATAGGGCATGTATTATTGTTTGCTAATGCGTGTAGGCTTATTATTTTATAAATTATTTTTTCGCGAATTGGAAAAGCAAACACTTATCCTTCCATCAAAAACAATAAATATCTAAGTGTAATAGATGTAATTGTAATAAAAACTACATACTTTAGTAGCATATACTGTTCAATTTTAAACCAAATCAAATTCATGTTCTTACAATAATGAGTTACTTGACTTAAAGTTGTAAATTCTTATTCAACATAAAATCTAACTAATGAATTTAATTATACAGTTGAAAAAAAAATTACTTGTTAGAGATTAACTGACCACAGATAAAAATTTCAAATGATGTAACAGTTCATTTTACAGCCTTGTCTATAAATTATGGAAAACTGATATTAAGTTAAAAGTCATTATTTCTAAGTCTCCAGTTTTTAACCTTGAAAATGATACCTTGTTGTTTAAAAAATATTAAGTTTAAAATTTTTGTCATCTGGTTGATCTAACCATGGGATTGCCCAACTAGAAACCTGTACAGTGCAGAACAAAAAAAAAAAAAAAAAATTTAAGTTTAATTTTCTTTCTTATTAATAAACACATTTGAATAAAATTCTATTATATTTTATGTTTATATATCATTTAACATGTTTCCCATACATTTCTTAGATTTTGCCAACTTTTAAGGATAAAGGAAGAAACAGTTTCTGAAATATCATAGCTAGAATGCAAGCAACATTTACAAACTTTGGACATAGTGATTACTACAAAATTCAAATTTTGAGTAGAAAATCAAATATTTACAAAAAAAAAAAAAAAAAAAAAAAAAAAAAAAANAAAAAAAAAAAAAAAAAAAAAAAAAAAAAAAAAAAAAAAAACAGTAAAATTAAATGTTAACATATAATCAGTTTGTAAAAGAACTGTTCTTTTAATAAAATATGTTATAAAAGGTTAAAATTGAAAAAATAAGCATCCATGGAACAACTGTAAAAATTTGTCCACAAACATTACTGCTAGCGATTTTAAGAAACTGATGGTTGCTGAGAAAAAATAATTCACCGATTTAATTGGATGGGGTACAAAAGCTTTCAGAAAGAGTGCAATAAAAAATCTATTGTAACCAACTAATTTTTGGAGAATTTTATAAAGTAGAAAAAATTAAAACATCTTGAATAATTTTGTCAAAAGGAAAAAAATACCCCCAAAGCATCAGAACATACTTGACTGATAAATAGATTCAGCTGACAGAACAGAATAAAAAAATTTAAAAAAAAAAATGCTTTTATCTCATACTTATACTTAACTCATGCTTTATAAAAAATGCTTAAACTTAAACTCATGCTTATATATATATATATATANCTCCCCAACAATCTTTGCCTTTCCTAAACAGCAGTCTCCAAATAGATCAAAGGTTTTTCCATTCAACCATGATAGGTCAAAGGTCTAGAATAGGTAAAAGGTTTTTAGCAACCATGAGAGAGTTATAAGTGGCATTCAAGTTTAACAGGGTTATAATGGAGCAAATTTTAATGCAAGCAAAGTATTGCTTAGTTGATTATATTTCATCTGTTTGGTGATAAATTTCCATCTAAAAAAGTGAATGTAATGGATGGTAAAATAATTTAAAGAAAAAAGTTCTCGCTTTTCTTTAAAATTCCCTGACTTTTCCGGGTTTTTATCCAAATTTCCCTGACTTTTCCAGAATAAAAAGATTCCCTGATAATTCCAGGTGGGTGGCCACCCTGTTATTTGCTGATCCCATTAGTCACTGAAGACTGTATAGTGGTCCTAAACAGACCACCAATGGAATGTGATTTTGAATGCTGAACTTAATTATAAAACATAAATAATTGAGACAGTTAATACAGCAAGTGTCAGTTAGAGTAATAAATCATTAAGTATGCAAACAAGTAAGGAAGGACTCCATTATACTTCCAGCATGCAGATTCTCATAATATAGTTTAAAATAGTTCCACTATTTTCAAATACCTGGAGTTTGCTTCAAAAATTGGTCGAAACACTTCAAAAAAGTTTTCTTTTGAAAAGTTATTGACAGAAGGTACTGAGTCATCAAATTCAGGGTCTACACTGTCGTAAGACTGTCGCTTTATTGGATTGCCTAAGATTTCATAAGCTGAAATACAAGACAGAATTATACTACTTGATGCAACTAATTTATAAAAGGGTGTAAAAAAATGCCAATATAAGATAACAAGAACTAAGAGTAATGGTCGTTTATACAATTGCATACAAAAAAAGATTCCAAGCTGCATTATTATTAGAAAACAAACAAATGATAATAAACAAAAGACTAAACTTTATGTGTCAAAACTAGTTAAGAAAAAGCGCTACTAAAATTAAACAGGTCACTTTTTAATATTGAGTAAAGTTATGTGAATAAATAAAGTAAATTATTTGTCTATATAACAATATAGACAAATCATTTACAATATTTGCATGGCGTACAGATGATAAATATCTGTGCATGTTTGTATGCTATGATCAGATTTTGTCCAAAAATCTAGAATAAGTTTTTTTTTTCTTTTCATTTAGCCCCACAATACAATAATTTATATTTTCAAAGGAAAGAAAATTTATGTCTTTTAAACTACAATGAAATGAATTTTATGAGTCATTTACACAAAAAAATTTACCTCACTGTATAATGGGTGGCAATTGATGGCCAACTTGCAGCTCTTCGAAGGATTATTTGTGACTCTCGATGAATGTACCAGAGTTCCCTTTTCATTTTTGTACTATTATATTTTAAAAAATTATCATCGTTCCGTGCGCGTTTCAAAATGTCTTTTAAATTACTGACAACAAATATGAAAGACTAAGTGCCACGTTTTAACAAATTTAATTTTCTTCCAAGTTAAGAATGATATGACTCATCGAAAACTACATGAACGAACATAAACAGTGGCGCAATCGTCCGACTGCAGACCGATTAACACGATCTACCAATAATTTGTTCCTTTTTTCTTAGAAAAAGTAAAATCCATAATGACATTTCGCATCATAAACAACTAATATTGACAACACTTCATTTAGAAGCACTTCAAGAGTCAACTTGCTGTGTTGATATTAAAAATACATTAGATTCCATAACGAAAACTTTTGATGTGCCTCTTAATAAACTTGTAAGCAATGAAACTGATGGAGCTCCGGCAATGCTGGGTAAAAAAAATCGGTCTTATTGGGGCTTTAAGAGATGATTCTCAACTTCCACAATTCATACTGATTCACTGCATAATTCCTCGAGAACATCTCGTTACAAAATGTTTAAAATATCCAGATGTTATGAAAACAGTGCTACACTTTGCAAACTACATTCGCACCAATGTAAAAAATCATTGACAATTCAAAAATTTCCTTAAAGAATTAAAGGACGAAGAACTTCCAAATGACATAAATTTCTTTTGCATTGTTAAATGGTTATCTAGCTACAACTTATAAAATCGCTTTGTAAATTTTTTTGATCCAATAACTGCATTTCTAAGAGAAAAGAAAATAACCTATACAGAATTAGAAGATGATGAGTGGTTAAAAGACTTAATGTTTTTAAATGTCACAGAATATTTGCAAGCACTGAATTTACAATTGCAGGGGATCTGAGCTCTCACAGTGTATATTTAGTTTTCAAACTAAATTACAACTTTTTCAAAAGAACATTAAAAATTAAACATTTTGTCATTTTTCTCGAATTAAAAAAATTTGTTCCAATATTAAACAAGAAAAACTCAACAAGTATACAAAAGAGCTAGAAGGAATATTGACGGAATTCCAAAATAGATTTCACTTGCATCCATTTGTAATTAACATAATTCAAGGTGAGTTTTCCATTTCCAATATATTTATGACCCAAAAAGCATCTGGAGAATTAGAATTAATAGAGATGCAAGAAGATCAAGCTCTACAACTAAAATATAAGTTCACGTCGATTACTGAATTTTGGAAATTTGTACCAGAATTGAAATATCCTGAATTAAAAAAGGCTGCGTGTCGAATTATTTAAATATTCGGAACGTAAGTATGTGAATCATTTTATTCCACTTTAAAATTCGTGAAAGCCAAACACCGATCAGTATTAACTAACCAGCATTTCAAAGAATTACTGAGAAGTGCTGTCACCAATTATTCACCAAATTTTAAAGAACTATCAAGAGAAGTAAAATAAATGTGCTTAATTTTTAATATTTAAATTCAATGCACATATTTTGTACTTTTATTTATATGCTCTCAATGTAATTTCTGTACATAATATAATATCTGTAACTTTTTTTTAATACCTTTAAAATACGTATTTAATTGTGGCTCACGAAAAACTTCAAAATTTGAAGGAGCTTGGCCACCCCTGATATATACAACATTGAGCCGCAATGGCTCAGGGGATAGAGCCTTCGCCTTTCAATGTGGCGAAACAGGTTCGAACCCCAGTTGATACGAATTCTGCATCAGGCTTGCCCCGACCACAGTGCTGCCGTGAAATATCTTCAGTGGTAGACGGATCATGGGTCAGAGTCCCCTTGCCGTCAGGCTAACCGTGGGAGGTTGTCGCCGTCTTCCTTCATCCGGGAATTCACTTGTCTCCTGGATTGGGTTCAAAATAACAAGGCTACGGAGTTGAACATTAGTAGTCGTAAACCCATAAAATTGGATCAGCTGTTCAACTACGGTTATAAAATAAAATACAAATACACTGGTGTACATATAAAAATAATATGCACTGGTATTTGGGTGGCAATTGATATTTTGTCTCTTCTGTAGGTAAGGAAAAATGTGTGATAGGTTTACCTATGATTTAGTTGTATTTATTATCAAAGAAACCATTAGATATTACTGTCTCATTTTATTTTGTTAAAGACATTGATTTCAACCATTTTATTCCAGTTTCTATGAAACAATTTGTAAAAGGCATCACAAGTGATACACAAACAAAATCAACAAGTTCTCTTTATAGTTGCTATGTGGACCAGCAAATTGGACTTTTTTGGGTGAATCAATTTTGATGTATTCCCCTCATTTATTCTTTTTAGATCTATGATGACCTAACAACATGAAGGAAAAAAATTATTCTCCTATAGATTAAACAAGCCTTTGTTTTATTTCATGCAAAAAAAAAAAAAAAAAAAAACTAATTCTATCCTCGATAATTAAAAATATATATATAGTTTACAAATAGAAATTCAAAAATATACTCCAAGACAATAGCTAAATAAAGTCTTTGTTTCGAAAGATATGCATGACCAGGGGTCTGTCCAGACATTTTGTGAAAGGTCCTGTTTTTGTAAAATTGTGTAAAAACTATTCATAATTTGTGAATATAAAATAAGCGTTAAGTTACATTCTTTCAACCAGGGTCCTGCTTTTGTGAATTTGCGAAAACAGGGTCCTATTATTACAAAAACCTTTCAAGAAGTTTTTAAATTGTAAATAGATACAAGACTCAGCTCAACAATTGCTGCTACTAAATTAGAGATGCAACATACAAATATTTGGTATCTAGCCTATACTGCTCAACACAGAATTTTCATTTCGGAGGAATAATGGAAACAACTTAGTAATGTATCACTTTTAATGTGAAACAATTCTTAAATTTATAATATTTTATTTAAAAAATTGCCAGAAATTAATTTTTATTTACATAATATTCCATTAATTAAGTTCATGAATAAATATAAATTGATCAATTATTTATTCACAAAAAAAAATTATGATTTAATATTAATAAGAATGCGAACACAATGTTTGTAAAAGTAGAAATATTTTCTTAGAATACTATGTTTGGAATTTAAATGTAGGGAAACTTAGTTTGCCTCGAACCGTCTTTCTCACCCCCTGGAAGGGTTTATTCGATTAACAAAACAATAATGAAGCTAAACAAATTTGTGAAGGGTCCGATTAAAAGATAAATTATTTTGTGACGGGTCTGTTTTTATGAAAAGATATTTTGTGAAGGGTCTGTTAACGAACTCAAATTTCTTCTAAACAGACCCCTGACGACAAAGAATGATTTCAACACTATGCACCGATTTCTCTTCCATAGCACAACAAATACTCCAAAAATTATAGAGAGGACATGTAATTTTCTTGTGAGGGAAAAAAATGTAACATCAGCAGATTTAAATAGACAGAATAGAATCAAACTTAAAAATCTTTTTTACCCATGTAATTACAGTGCAAGGAAAATAAACTAATTCTGAGTACCAAATTGGATAGTTTTTTTTCTTCTTATTGCAAGTGTTATATCACTCTTAATTAAAAGCCCTGATAGCTCAAATATAACTCTTTCCTTGCTTTAAAATCATTTGTTTAGTCTATCAATTCAGAGAATCTTGATAAATATGCACATTAATAGATACTTAAAGAGGTAGAGAATTTATCGGCTTATCATCTTCATTTTTTTTTCAAACTTGATTTTTTTCTATAATTTTTTAAAATTAATTTTATAATTAAAAATGATTTTATTTCACATATAATTTTTCAGTTTTTGAAAATTTGAATGTTTTAAATAATCAATATAATTTTAAATAGGTATAGGTATTCTTATAGGCTCATAGTAAAAAAGGAAATTTGGAAGTTCTGTGTTTTAAGGACCAGTAGTTTCCCAAGACAAACAGAATCACTGAGGATACTTACTAAGCAATAATTATAACACAAATATTTCAACATAATATCAAAATTTAGAGCTACAGTTTGTGAAATCGGGTTGGAAAGATATTCAAACTGAAAGCACAAAAAATAAGCACCTTATAAGTACTCAAAAATACTTTTAAGCACTTTCTTATGATAAAAAAAATCAATAAAATTTTTATAATAAAAATTGCCTTCCCCATGTTGAAAGAACATGAGTGAATGTACAGTCCGCAAAAAAAAAAAAAAAATATCACTCCGAATAACTTTTGTTCTAATGATCAGATTTTCATGAACTAAGTGTCAATCTTAATGGTTCCTGGGGGTGACCTCAAATATGCTATTTAATAAGTGTTAACTATTAATTAAGTTACAGTTACGAAATCAGACACAAAAACGTACTTTCTCTGAATAAACATATATATATATTTTTTACATATTTGGAATCTAGACACTTGAATTAGGGGGGGGGGTAGACAAAATTTAAAAAAAATTGTA